TCCTCTCCTGACACCATGTCATGGCATCCTTATGGGTGTTCCTCATCTTTTCCTCCTGGTCCCCACCAGATTTGGTGCCTGGGCAATGAGAGCCGCTTCCACATCAACCAGAGCGTGGAGGGGACGGTGCTGGCGACCGTGTTGCAGGGACTTGTCCCTGGGGTCCCTTACCGTGCTGAGGTTGCTGCTGCCACCAGTGCTGGCGTGGGTGCCCGCAGTGCCCCTGTCCCCATCCACATCGGTGAGTCCCTCATTGTCACAGCTGTTCCCCATGGGTGGGGCATGATGGGGTCACCCACTGCGGTGCTGGCGATGGCTCCTTGGCACCCTGCCGGTGTGTCCCTCTTTCCCGTGTCCCTTGCAGCCCCCCTGGTGGAGCGAGGTGCGGGGCCAGCAGCTGGGAGCAGCTTGACTGAGCATCTAGCAGAGGTAGCCAGGCAGCCAGCCTTCATTGCCGGCGTCGGTGGCGCTTGCTGGGTCGTCCTCGCTGCCTTTGCTGCTTGGCTCTACAGCCGCCGCCGGAGGAAGAAGGAGCTCAGCCACTTCACTGGTACAGGGGGTGCTACCCCTGGGACCCCTCACCTTCACCCCCCACCCATCAGCCACCCACTGTCTGTCTCTTTGCAGCATCCTTCGCCTACACACCCACCGGTAAGCCCACGAGTGCTGCGGGGTCCCAGTACGGCCTCTCGCTGCCCTCACCCCCATCTCTTTCCACAGTCGCTTTCCCGGCTCCAGTGCGCAGCAACCCCAGGTAACCCCCCCGGCCCCCCTGCCCTCCCCAGGAGCCCCAGGGCTGAGCAGCAGCATTCCTTCACCCCGTCCCCCTGCAGGGCAGCTGCTGGCAGTGGTTACCCGTGGCTGGCGGATGCGTGGCGTGGTGGCAGCACAACCAGTTCTGCCGGGTGTTTGGGGTCCACTGAGAGATACTACAATGGTGAGGGCTCAGCATGGGGCTGGGTGGCTCTTGAGGGGGTTATGGTCAGCCCTGATGATGCTGGTCACCCTCTGCAGATGCTGGCATCACCCGTTACATCGCCCAGACGGAGCAGTTTGGAGCGGGGGCTGCCGAGGGGCCGGTTTACAGCACCATCGAGGTTGACAGTGAGGAGCTCTGCGCGTTCCCCCGTCCCTTCTCACAGTATGGGACCTCCTACCCTGGGGGGGGTTCCCAGCCAGTGGATGCTGCAGCCTCCCAGGTGCCCCGTGGCCGGGCTGAGCACGGTAGGGTGGTCGGGTGGGTGGGGGCACACGTGGGTGCTCGTGGTGCTGTGCCCTCCCCACAGCTCCCCCAGCATCCCTCCTTGGCACAGGGGCCAGAGCAAAGCTGGGGCAAGCAGTGAAACCACCAGTGGTGAGCTGGACAGAGCTGCTGCCCCCGCCACCCTCAGCCAGTGAGCTCAGCCAGTGCGCCCAGGAGGAGGAGAAGGAGGAGGAAGAGGAGGATGAAGAGGAAGAGGCAGCCCGAGGGTGAGTGTGGGGGCTCAGGGGCCGGGCATGCTGCCCCCAGCAGCTACCCTGTGGTCTCCACCCTGCAGGCTGGGGATGGAGGTGTGGTACCCCGGTGAGGACATCCCGTGTGCCACTGCTGCATCCTCGCCCACCACCTCCTCGGGCTGCCGCTCCACCGCCACGCTGACCCCCTCACCCCGCACCACGGAGGACATCCCCCGCCTCCGCGACTTCGATGGCTCCCTCCTGCCCCGGTAGGGGATGGGCCTCGCTGGGTGTGGCCGTGCCATTGGGGTCTGGATGTCCCATTGGGATCCAGATGTCCCACCATGGCCTGGGTGTTCCATTGCCATGTTGCCATACCCAGCCCTGCCATGCCATCATGGTCCAGCTGTGTCGTTAGGGTGTCATTAGTTTCCAGGTGTCTCATTGGGGTCCAGATGCTCTGTTGGGATCAAGATGCCTCACCGTGGTCCAGATGTTCCATCACAACCCAGCCATTTTGTCACCATTTGGCTCTGCCATGCTGCCATAGTCCAGCCATGCTGCTGAGGTGCAGATGTGTCATCTGATGGGACATCCAGGTGTCCCATTGAGCTCTGGATGTTGTGCCCTATCATGTTTACATGATCCAGTTCCACTGTTCCACCACAGTCTGGCCTTGCCACTGGACTCTGGATCAGGCTCTGGAGGTCCCACCGTGGCCTGGGTGTCCTGTCACAATCCAGCCGCTCCATCATGATCCTGCTGTGCCACCATGGTCTGGCCATGCCATTGGGGTTTGCATGCCCCAATGGAGTCTGGATGTCCTACCATGGTCCAGGCATCTCTTTGTGATCCATCCATGGTGCCACCATCCACCCCTGCTCTCCAGCTGTGCTCTGGCCATGCTGCCATCACACATCCATGGCATTGTGGGTGACTGGGGCATTGCAGTACAGCTGCACCATCACGAGACAGGTGGGCCATCATCACCCAGCTGTGCTGCTGTGCCCCAGCTCTGCCATGGTCCATCTGTGCCACCACAATGCTGGCATGGCACTGCACTCCAGCTGTGCAGCTGCAACCAAGCTCCATGGTTGCAATCCAGCTGTGCTATGTCCCAGCTGGGCAGCTGCAACCAAGCTCCATGGTTGCAATCCAGCTGTGCTGAGATATAGGTGTGTCATGATTTAGCTGTGCAGCTGCAATCTGCCAGTGTGCTTGCAATCCAGAAGTGTGTTGAACCAGCTGTGCCACTGCAGTCCAGCTGTGTGGCTGTAATCCAGCTGCACAGCCTCTATCCAGCTGTGCTCCAGATGTGCCACTGCACGCCAGCCTTTCCAGGCTGTGGTCCTCCACCCCAGCTGTGCCACTGTACTCATCCAGCTCCCCTTTGCCACCCCAGCTGTGATCCAGCTGTGTCACTTCCACCCAGCTGTGATGCTTCACCCACCCGCACCACTGCCATCCAGCTGTGGCAGTACCACACGGCTTCTCCTGGCTCTGGCACAGCTCTGGAAGGTTGTGCCAGTCCTGTGGCGGCCCCTGAGCCCCCATGCCGCTCCCCCCACGCTGCCTTCACTCCACCCCCTCTTTGCCAGGAGACCCCCGCACGGTGTGGGCACACCCCCACGGGCACGCAGCCCCTCGGTGGCCCCGGATGCCGGCGAGGGCCGCCCAGCCCGAGCCCTCGGCCCTCCCGGCACAGGTGAGACCCCGGGGCCCGTTTGGGTGAGTGGGGGTCTCGCTGGCTGTGGAGGGGCTGACGCTGCCATCCTGTCCCCCCCTCCCCAGGGAAAACCCGCGGGGTGGTCTCCAAAAGTCGCCTGAAGCCCAAGAGCAGCCGCTACCGCCGGGAAAAGCAGACGGGAGGTGAGTGGGAGGGAACAGACGGGGGGTGCAGGAGGCTCAGGGAGCTGAGCCCTGTTCTCCCTGTGTACCGCAGAGCTGCCGCCGCCGCCGCTGCCGCCGCCCGGAGACAGCCCCGGGCCCGGTGCGGGGCCGGAGCCGAGCGGGGCCGAGCGCAGGGTCCCGCAGCGCCCGGGCCGCGGTAAGCAGCGCCCCCGGCCCGACGGCAGGGGCTGCGGTGGCACTGCCGAGCCCCAACCCTGTCCCTCCCCTGCAGATGAGGTCCCCCCCTACGGCAAAGCCCCGTGCCCGCCCCGCGGGCCGGTGTCCGGCAGCTGCTCCACCGCCGGCAGCGTCTCGTCCCGCGGCTCCGGCAGCTCCCGCGGGCACGGCTCGGGGCGCAGCCGGACCCCGGCGGAACGCGGAGAGGGCGCCGGGCACGGCCGCCGCACCGGGGCACCCTGCCCGCCGCGGGAGAAGCGATAGAAGGGAGGGCGAGTCGGTGACAGAGTTGGGGACACGGGGATGGGACACGGGACACGGGACACGGAGGGATGTTCTTTAATTTGTGATGGCTCCGCGGAAATAGGGTTGTACAGAGGTCACGGCCAGTGGGCGTCAGAGTGAGGGGGGACAGGGATTCTTGGGTGGGACAAGGAATTCACAAGGAATGAGGACCCTGGGGAGGGACAAGGATGCTCAGGAGGGACAAGGAAGGACATGAACCCTGGGGACAGAAACAGCTGGGACAGATGAGCAGAAGAGGGATGAGGGTGGTGGATTAGGTTAGGGATGAGGAATATGCTTCTGTGGGGTAAGGATCCTGGAGACAAGGATAGCTGGGAGGAACAAGGATGCTGGGAGAGGACAAGGACGTCTAAAAGGGATGAGGTGATTGAAAGTGAAGGGGACAGTTGGTGGGGGACAAGATTACATGGGGGGACAAGGACACAGCAGATGGATGAGGGTGCTGGTGAGGGACAGGGAAGGCTGGGGGACAAGGAAGCCTGGAGGGAAGAGGGCATGGAGGAAAGACAAGGATTTCTAGGGCGTTGAGGACTGCTGGAGAAAAAACAAGATTGCTTGGGAGGGACAAGGACAGTAGTAAGGCTGTAGGGGGATGAGGACAGTGGGGACACTTGGCATGAGGGACAAAACAACTGATGAAGGATGAGGACACTCAGGAGGGATGAGAAACCTGGGAGTGAGGATGATTAGGAGGGACAAGGACATTTAGAGGGAGCACACGGCCACTCAGGTGGCTTGGGAAGGATGAGAACGTTTGGGAGAGACAAGGATAGAAAAGGTGGGACAAGGATGCTGAGGAGGGACATGAACTATCAGAGATCACAAGGACAGTTGGAAGGAATGGGAATTGTCAGTGGGAATGGGGATGGTCAGGGGGTCAACAACCCCAGGGAAAGACGAGGACACAGGGTGGACAACAGTGCTTGGGCTGGAGAAGGATAGTTAGGGGGGATGAGGATGCTGGTGAAGGAGCAGTACACTGAGGAAGAACAAGGACACTTAGAGGGATGCAGACTCTTGGGGAAGATGAGGATGCTGGGGAGAAATGAGGAATTTGGGAAGGGGTGGGGATGCTGAGGAGGGATGGGAACACTGTGGAAGAAGGAGGACACTTGGGAAGGACAAGAATGCTGAATAAGGAGGGACACCCACCCGCCTAGGTGCCACCCACCCTTTGTGGGTGGCTGTTCCTAGTAAAGAGCCCCTGTTTGGGGAGCTGCCCAATAAAGCTGGATTTTAGCTGAGCCAAGGGCTCTGGCCTGGCTGTGTCCTGCGCCCTGGGGACTGCCACGCTCCTGTCCCTCCCGTCTGCAGCTCGCCACCATCCCTGGCCCAGGAGCTGCCAATCCCTGGCCCTTGGCCACCTGGAAAGCAAAGGAAACATTTTCCAGCACCCTGCAACACCTCACCACCCCCAGTGCTCACCACCCTGGCATTGGGGCACTGCACACCGTTCTGTGAGCTGCTGTTCACGGCTGCCTCTGTCCTGGCTCTCTGTGGCACCTCCAGCACCTTCCACCAGTCCCAGGTGGCAGAGTGGGCTCCGGGTGGGAAGACCTGCTCCAAGGGCGATGGTGGTGGTGAGGGACCTGCAGGGAAGAAGGCAAAAAGTGGCATCACCGTGGTGTCCTGATGGAGCCATGTTCCTTGAGGGTGGAGGCTCCAGCTGTGGGTTTCTCTTGGTCTGGATTGAAGGCACTTGGGACAGTAGTTCATGTTTGGACTCAGGTGTTTATTATTTTTTATCAGTGAAACAGTCTCACTACTGTGAGTTTGGCAGCTTTTCATTAGAAGGCGCAAAATGGCCAACAATCTCTTGTTGCAAAGTCTTTAAAGACTAAACTCTCCAATTAAGAAATGACGCCTGGATTATTTTCATTTTTAACCCAATAACTGATCCCAAAGAACTGCAATGTGGACTTTTCTGCCCAATTACCAAATGCCACCCAAACCCAAGAAGAAGAAGGAAGAAGAAGCATGAAGAAGAAACCCAGGACAACACCCTGTGCCCTCCATCTTGTTCCTATCCGCAACACACTAAAAATCCCAAAACCTCAATTTCTCACCAAGTGACACACCTACACTACTCTCTATAATCTATTGCACACTTTTGTGGATTCCAGTCTATCTTGAAGTCTGGGAAACTTTCTCCATGAATGAGGAGAAAGTTCTCCATGGAGAGTCACTGATTTTGACCCTCCATGAATGAGTCAGTGCTGGCCTGGGGGTCAGGGCACCCCAAAGCAGACACAGAAATATTCCCTGTGGTGCCCTGTGTTTGCACACTTGAGGAGCTGACACTGCTCAGGGTCAGAGAGGGGGTCCAGGGCCCTTCACTCACCCCCGTAGGCCCCATCAGTGTCCTCCAGGCTGCAGCAGAGGCCGTCGACCGCCACGGCCAGTGCGCGGGCAAAGCTGGCGTCCAGCAGGAAGGAGCCGTCGCAGGAGCTCACCAGGCTGCAGCGGGTGCTGGCAAAGTTGTCCTCTGACACAGACCCCCAGCCGTTCAGCAGCGACCCTCCTGGCGAGCCCCCCGTTGCTGTGTGCTCTTCCTCCTCCTCCTCTTCCTCCTCCTCCTCTTCTTCCTCCTCCTCCTCACCCAGCTCAGAGGCCGGTGGCCCGTAGATGTAGCCGTAGGTGTGCGGTGGTGAGAAGGAGCGTGGTATGGTCGGTGCTGGGGGTCTGTGGGGAACACAGGGGGGGTACTGCTGGCACCAGGGGATGCTGCAATCATGGGAGTGTCCCAGGGGATGGGGAATACCTGCAGCAGGTGGTGTCCTGGTCCATCTCCAGCACCTCAGCCACCTGCTGTTGTGTGAGGACCCCATCGCTGAATGCCAGCGAGAGGCGCCCGCTGGCCAGGGACATGTCCTTGGTGTACCTGGTAGCCAGGAACATGTCCCTTGAGTGCCTGGCCTCCAGTGACACGTCCCAGGTGTGGCTGGTGGCCGGGGACATGTCCTTGGGATACCTGGTGTCCAAGAACATGTCCTTCTGGTGACCAGTGACTGGAGACACCTCCTCGGGATGCCTGATGGCCGGAGATGTGTCCCTGAGGTGCCCAGTGGCTGGAGATGTGTCCCTGGGGTGCCTGGTGGCTGGAGATGTGTCCCTGGGGTGCCTCAAGGCTGGTGACATGCTTTCAGGGTACCTGCTGCACAGGGACACGTCCCTTGTGTGCATGGTCACCAGTGATGGGTTCCTGGTGGCCTGAGACATGTCCTCAGAGTACCTGGTGTCCCAGAACTTGTCCCTGTGGTGCTCGAGGACTGGTGACATCTCCTCAGGGTGCCTGCTGAGTGGGGATGTGTCCCTGGGGTGCCCAGTGGCTGGCAATGTGTCTTTGGGATGCCTCAAGGCTGGTGACATGTTTTCAGGGGACCTGCTGCACAGGGACATGTCCCTTGTGTGCATGGTCACCAGAGATGAGTTCCTGGGGTATTTGTTGGCTGGGGACATGTCCTTGGCATACCTGGAGGCCAGGAACTTGTCCCTGCAGTGCCTCGTGCCTGGTGACATCTCCTTGGGGAGCCTCGTGCCTGGGGATGTGTCCTTTGGGTGCCTGCTGGCTGGGGACATGTCCTTGGGGTGCCTGGTGGACACTGAGATGTCCCTCTGGCACCTGGCTACTGGCAAAGGGTCTCTGGGGCACCTGGTGACCAGGGAGGTGTCCTCAGGCTGCCTGGTGGCCAAGACTGTGTCCCTCTGGTGCTTGGTGGCTGGTGATGGATCCTTGCGGTGCCTGGTGGCTGGTGACATGTTCCTGGGGGTCCTGGTGGCTGAGGACACATCCTTAGGCTGCCTGCTGTCCAGGAACATGTCCTTGGGGTGCTCAGTGACCAAGGACATGTCCCTAGGGTTCCTGGTGGCCGGTGACACACCCCTGGGGCTCTCTGTGACTGGGGACCTGTCCCTGGGGATCCCAGTGGCTGGGGACACGTCCTTGGGATGCCTGGTGACCAGAGATGTGTCCCTGGGGCACACGAAGGTCGGGGACCTGCAGGTGCAAGGGACATGCTGGGTTTTGCAGTGAAGGGCTGGGTTGCAGGGGACTCACCTGGATGGGGACACCCAGACTCACCGTGTCACCGGTGGGTGCCAGCCATGGGGTGGTCTCGGGGGTGTCACCGGTGACGTGGTCGCACCAGAGGCCAGCGGGGTGCTGCCCCGGTGTGGCTTTGGAGAGCTGAAGGCCGGTGGCCGCGGGCCCCTGCTGTCCATCCTGGCAGTGGCAGTGCCACCCTCATGTCCCCTGTGCTGAGGCTGCCTGGCTGCCAGCCCCAAATCTGTGCCCCACTCGCCTCCAGGGACAGGGACAGGGACGTGGCTGGGGCCAGCCACGAGCAGCGGGGTGCTGTGCACCTGGTGCAGCTCTGCAGGGGGAGTGAGGGACATTGGCCATGGGCCATCGCCCTGCTGTCCCCCCTGTCCCCCCATGTCCCCCACACCCACCTCTCTTGCGGACACGCTCCCAGGGCGCCGGGTTTGGGGTGCTGGGCGAGGAATGCACCCCGGGGTGCCCCCCAGCGCAGCACCCCATGTCCCCGAGGGGGGCCGGGTGTCCCCCACAGAGGCTGCTGTGGATGGGGGGCGTGGGGGGACCAAGGCTCGACGGCTCCAAGGAGAGGGCTGGAAGAGTAAGAGAGGTCAGGGCACCCATGAGGCCACGTGTCCCCTGTCCCCTCTGTCCCTGGGTCTGTGCGTCCTCGCTGCCTGCAGACAGACAATGGGGAACACCAATGTGAGGATCCCACGGCACTGGGGGTCCCCAGCATAGGGTGGGGGTCTTGGGTACACTTTGCTGGTCCCATGGCACTCTGTGGGGTCCTAGGCCTGGGCTGGGGGCCCTGCTGCAGCAGGTCAGGGTTCCATGGAACTGGGTGGGGATCCAATGGCATCACATGGGATGGATGGGGGTTCCATAGTGCTGGTGGGAGTTCATGGCAGAGAGTGGGGGCTGAATGGAAATGGGTGGGGGTCCCAACCCTAGTGTTCATTCCAGGGGTGGGGGTCCCATGGCAGTGGGTGGGGACACCAATCTCTGGGGGCTCACTGGAGGGGTGGGGGTCCCTGCCATCACTGCCCAGGAGCCGGCTGCTGAGGCTGCTGCTGCTGCTGAGGTTTCGGGGGGCACAGCTGGGTTTCCAGGGGCCACCAAGCCACGGAGAGTCACCAGCCATCAGCCTGCAGGGCGAGAGGTGCTGTCAGTGCATCCATCCCCCCCACACCAGGGATGTGCCGTGTCCCCCAGCCCACGGCCTCTCACCTGTGGCGAGCTGCAGCGTCCTGGCTGGCACGGCGCTGGCACAGGAGGAGGAGGAGGGCGAGTAAGGCCAACCAGAGCATGGAACCAGCGGCTGCGATGACAGCAGGCTGCCGCAGCGCCTGCACCACCCTGCTGCTCCCTGCTGCCAGCCCTGCAAGGGTCCCATCAGTGTCACTTCATGTCACCACCCTGACCCCCACCCGCACCCACCCTGCTGTCCATCTCCTACCCAGGACTCCACAGGTGGCATTGCTGGGGACCCCCAGCCCTGCGCTGTTGAAAGCGGCCACCTGGACACAGAACTCGGCCCCGGGGTGTGGGAGGAGGGTTTCCAGGCGGCGCGTGGCTCCGTCCACTGTCCTGTTGGTGGGACGCTGCCAGCCCTCACCCATTGACCAGACCTGGCAGGCACCAAGAAGATGTGTCCCTTAGGTGATAAGCCTCCATGGACACCCTTGGATGGACCTCCTTGGATGGATCCCCTTGAATAGACTCCTTCAGATGAACATCCCTTGACAGACTCCCATTGATGGATCCCCCATGGACAGACTCACTTGGATGGATCCCCTTGGATGGACTCCTTCAGATGAACATCCCTTGAGAGACTCCCCTTGATGGATCCCCCATGGACAGATTCACTCGGATGGGTCCCCTTGGATGAATCTCCTTGGTGGACTCCCCTTGGAAGGACCCCTTTGGATGGGCTCCCTTGTATGCCTCTAGGATGGACCTCCTTGGGTGAAAACTTCTTGGTGGACCCCCATTGATGGACCCCCCTTTGGATGGACCCCCTTGGGTGAAAACTTCTTGGATGGACCCCCATCAATGGACTCCTCTTTGGATGGACCCCCTTGGCTGAATCCTCTAGGCTGGACTCCTTTGGATGAACTCCCTTGGATGCCACTAGACAGGTGCCCTGGGAGGGACCTCCACCCTGGCTGGCCCTTTTGGATGAACCCCCTCCTGGACAGACTCCTTGAATGGTGCCCCCCTTGGACAGACCCCCACCTTTGACAGGCTCCCTTTTTGGATGGATCCCCTTGGATTGACCCTCCCTGCCCAGAAGACCCCAGCCCTGCCCCTTTGCCCTTGCCCCATACCTGGTAGCCCCGGATGACGCCGTTGTGTGCTTCAGGAGGAGGCGGCTCCCAGCTCACAACCACGGTGCCATTCCCTGCCTCAGCCTGGCTGACGGTGACACGCTGGGGGGCTGCACTTGGCACTGCCGGGACAGGGATGCTGAGACCCCTGGGACCCCCAGCAAACCTCCCCACCACCACCCAGGCATCCCGGGGGACGCACGACACACCTTCCTCGGGTATCCAGAGGTGCCTGCTGTTGCTGTCTGAGCCCTGGGTCCCTCCGGTGTAGGGTCGGACCTTGAACTCGTACTTGTAGCCCCTGCGGAGCGCGGGGATGGTGGCGCTGAGCTCCCTGCCCGCATCGTGCTGGACCCAGGAGGTGGCGACCGGGAGCAGGCTGCGGTACAGCACCACGTAGCCCACGGGCACCGGCACCGGCATCAGCATCTGCAGGAGAAGGGAAGGATCCCGAGTTAAGGTGGGACACGGGGATGTGTCCCGTCCCCTCTCCCCTGGGAGTGGCATCACACGAACCTGCCAGCGGAGCTGCACAGCAGCGGTGGGCAGGGCGGTGCCGTTGTCCAGGTGCAGCCGCACGGCCAGCAGCTCCCGCGGGGCAGAGTCCTGCTGGCTCGTGGCCAGCCCATCTGTGAGGCAGAACAAGGGGAATGGCAGGACCAAGGCACCTGCCCAGACACCCCCTGAGATACCTGCACATGGAGATCCTGACGTCTACCTGGATGGACTGACTCTTTTGGACAGACACCCTTTGATGGGTTTGCCTTCAATTGACCCCTCTTGGAAGGGTCCCCTTTAATGTGTTGCCCCTGGGAACATGGGATGGGATCCCATGATTCACCCCTCCATGATGTCCCTTTGGATGGATATTTCTTGTTCTATCCCCCTTTAATATACTTCCATCTTCCATAGGTCCCCTTAAATGAATCCCCTTGGAGGAACCAAGGATCCCCTCTTGGTTGGATCCCCTTTAAGTGGGTGATCTTGAATGAATCCCCTCGGATGGACTCCCACCTCAGTGCATTTCCTTAGATGGATCCACTTACATGGACATTCTTGGATGGATCCTGTTGGATGGATGTGTTTAGATGCACATACCTTTGGAAGTTCTCCTTTTGATGGATACCCTTAAATGACTCAGCTGGATGGACTTTATTTGATGGATGATGGCTGATGGATGATGGCTGATGGCTGATGGATGATGGCTGATGGCTGATGGATGATGGATGGCCTTGGATGGACCCGTATGGACAGACTGCCCATGGATGAGCCCCATTAGATGGACCCAGTCAGAATGATCCCCTTGCATGGACCCCAAGATGTCCCTGGGTGCCTGTGGTGGCGGAGGTGCCAGCACTGACCCTGCACGTGCAGGACGGTGGTGGCGGCGGCGGTGCCCAGCTGGCTCTGCGCTGTGCACACGTATGCGCCGGCGTCGGCGGCCGTCACGGCATAGAGGCGCAGCGTGTGCTCCCGGTCCACCTCGTGCCTAAGGGTCACCAGCTCTGCATCAGCCTCATCCCCACACCAGGGATGGCACCTCTCCTCCCTGCCACCACCTACCTGCCCCAGGGCAGGTCTCCGTGCTCCTTGTGCCACTGCACCTGCGGCGCTGGGTCACCGCGGGCGCTGCAGCCCAGCTCCACGGTGCTGCCAGGCACCGCCATGGCATCGCTGGGGTGCCGCACGATGCTCGGCTTCTCTGCAGGGAGACATCAAGCACGTGGCACCATGGCTGGCTGTGAGGTGGCACCTTGCCATGTCCTTGATGTCTCCCACCAGCTGTGGGAGACCCTTGGCTTACCCAGCACAGAGACGCGGGCGCCCCGGCTCTCCCTCCTGCCTGCCGCGTTGGCCGCCACGCAGATGTAGAGACCGGAGTCGCTCCGTTGCGCCGATGCCACCTGCAACTTCCCCTTGGTGACCGTGTACCTGCCACCTCCCAAGTCCAGGGTCACCCCGTCCTTCTTCCAGGTAATGTAGGGCTCGGGGTACCCCAAGGGGGGGACACAATCCAGCTCCAATGCTTGTCCCGCTGTGGTCACCAAATCGCCCGGCTGCAGGCGGAAATTGTCCCGCAGCACTGTGGTGGGAGGGCACGTTGTGGGTGGGGGGAACAGGATTTTCTGGTGTCTCCCCACCAGCATTTCCCACCCACCAGGAGTCCTTACCAGCTGGAGTTTGGGGTGCCGTGGCCACGCTGGGGAGGTGGCAGCCTGTCGGGTGACAAGGAGGTGGGGGAATGCCAGTAGGTGCCCCGGGTGGGCATGGTCTGAGACCCGGGGCAGGGCAGGGTTAAGCGGATTTTGGCCCCCGTGGGCTGCACTCACCTCCGCGGTGCAGGGCGGCGAGGCAGAGCCCCAGGCCCAGCGCTGTCTCCCAGCCGCCCGCCATGCCGGCCCTGGCCAGCCTCAGCCTCCCCGTTTCCTCCCGAAGTCCCGGTTCCTCCCGCCCGCACCGGGGCTGGATCCGGCTCCGGATGGGGGGGCACAATAGCCGGATGCGGGGGCCGGGAAATGCCGGGGGGGGAAGGTGGCGGTGAACACAAACATCTCAGCCATCCTGGGGCAGGCGGAGTGCCCGGCCACCGGCAGCACCCGGAGACAGCAGAGTGGGGGACACCAACGGTTAACGAATTTAATTAGTCAGAATAAATTCCCCTTTTCCTTCGCCATGTTCAGAGGAAGACAAATTAAGAAGAAACGGGCTCTCAGCTGAGGATGCCATCAGTAGGTACTAGAGGGAACAGCCCAAGTTCTCCAATGCATTAAAGTGCCAGTTTGAGTGCCAGCCAGGTGCATCAGATCTGTGTGATCTTACCTGTCAGCCACTTCTCGTGTGTCCCCCCCACCCTGGGGGACCCCTGTCCCACAAAGACACCCAAGGGTGCCGCCACCATTCGGGTAGTACGTTTAGTTTATTGGTTAGTAGCGCACCCCGAGCACTCCGGGGTGCCCCGGCACCCACCCCGGGTGCCCCAGGGCCCGGCTCGCTTGGCCGGCCGCTCTCTGCTTTTCATCCTAAACCTATTTCCCATGAAGGCTTGGGGAGAGACAGCGCCGTGAGCCCCAAAACCGGGGGATTTTCACAGAAAATCCTACCATGGCAAAGGGGCAATGCTTGGAACAGGGCTTCCAGCCCACGTTTAGGGGACATTGCAGCTGGGGAGCTGGGGAGCAGGAGGGAGCCCCCTGTTTAGGCCGCCTGGTGCGTGTTGTGGCTCGTGTGCCAGCGCATGTCCTGCTCCATGCATGGTGGCTGTGCCATAGCAGGCACCATGCTCTTGCTCTTGTGTGCCAGTGCATGCCCCGCTCAATGCATGGGGGCTGTGCCATGGCGGGCACTGTGCTCTTGCTCTTGTGTGCCAGTGCATGTCCTGCTTCATGCATGGGGCCTATGCCATGACAGGCACTGTGCTCTTGCACACACGTGTGCATGCAGGGTCGCTGGGTGTGCAGTGTGTGTGCTCCCCGTGTGCGTGTGCACGCTCCAAGCATGCTCAGCTGCTGTGTGCTCGCTCTCTCCACACACCCCACACACACCCTGTGCAAGCACAGCACACACACTTTGCACACTCACTGCAGGCTCCACGCATGCCCTGTGCCAGCACTGCAGATTGACTCTTGTGCATGCTCTGAGCATACTCAGATTCTCACTTTGTGCACGCTCTTTCCGTACACACCATGCACGCTCTGTGTGTGCTTTGTGCAAGCACTGCACACACCCTCTCTGCTCACCCTCTTTGCACACTCACCATGTGCTGTGCGCATGTCCTGTGCAAATGCTGTGTGCATTCCCTCCGCATGCTCCCTGCACACTCTGCACAGGCGCTCTCTGCATGGACTCTGAGCACACTTGGAACACACACGCAGGGCTGGCACGCCCACAAAGGCCATGCAGGCTCAGTGGACACTCTGCACACTCCATACACGCTCTGTGCACGCTCTGCAGCTTAGCTGCACGCTCCATGTGTGTGCTCTCCATGGGCTCAACGTGTTTTCCTGCATGCTCTGTGCATCCTCTTCGCACACTGTGTGCACACTTGCTGCACACCCTGGTGCCTGCCCCCGTGTGCACAGTCCATGTGCCCTCCTGCACGCCCCACGCACGTGTGCAGCGCTCCATCGCTCCCTCTGCACGCTCCATGCACCCGTGGCACACTCTCCGTGCGCCGATTGCATGTTCTCTCTGCACACGCGTGTGCACACTCGTCCCGGCGAGAAAGCCATTAAAGCGATGCACCCGGAAAAAGGGGGACGGAAGAGGGGAGCTCTGGGTGGGATCAATAGGAAATTAGTGACTTTACGCCGAGCAGAATGACGCCCAGTGGCGGAGCAGGGCCGTGCCGGTGTCCCCGCTCGCTCGGCGGCGGCAGCGCGGCCGTGCCGGTGTCCCTGCCCCTCGCACGCCGCCACCAAAGCGCGCACAGTCCGCTGCTCAGGCGCTGATCTCCACGGCGTTGGCCTCCTCCTGCTCGCGGATAACGTGCACGCCCGCAGTCCGCAGCAGCCGCGGGGCGCCGCGGGACCGCGCCGGGGAGCCCGGCGGGGAGCGGTGCGGCCGCGTCGAGGCGGGCGAGCGGGCCGGCGAGCGATGGTAGCGGCGGGCGGAGCGCCCCACGGGGCCCGGCGAGCGGCCGGCGGCGGGCACGGGCGAGCTGCTGTAGCCGGGCTCCACCGTGCCGCGGGGCTCGGGCAGCGAATCCTCCTCCGCCTCCGGAGAGTCCTGCCCGAAGACAAGAGCACAAAAACGTGGGGCATGTGCGAGACCCTCTGCTGGGATGCTGCCAGCGTGCTACTGGTGCTGCTGGTGCTACCGGCTCTCACCTTGTCTTTAAGGATGTACAAGGCCACCGGGTTCTTGCGCTCGTGCTCGCCGCTCCGTGGGATGCCCTCGGCTGTGTGGAAGGAAGGGAAGGTGCTGCTCACCATGCCCAGAGCGTTGGTGTCCCCCAGCACACCACTGCCACGCCAGGCCGGCACTCACCCTCGTGTTTCAGGCGCTCCTCGTCCTGCTCGGCGTAGTCAGAGGTTGGTTGTGTCTCTGCTTGTCGCTTCTCCCTGGAAAGGGGCAGGGCATGGATGGGGCAGCACTGGCATCGTGCTGGAGGAACGGGGGGAACTGCCTGTGGCTCATCCGGGGGGGTCAAGTACTGCAGGGATGGGATGGGATGGGGTGGGATGGGATGGGATGGGGTGGGATGGGATGGGACAGCACGTCACATCATGTCATGTCATGGCATGGCACGGCATGGCACAGCATGGCATAGCATGTCTTGGCATGGCATGGGATAGCATGTGTCAAGACGAGATGAGATAGGATGGTAAGGACAAAATGGGATGGGAAGAGATGAAATGGGACAAAACGGGATGGACAAGACAGGATGGGATAACCGCCTTTGTCTCCCATGTTATCCCCACACGTACTTCTTGGAGGGTTTCCAGCAGGCACAAACTGTCACCAGCGTGACAAGAAGGAAGATGCCACCCGTGGACAGGATGATGTAGAGAGAGCTCCGGCCTGCAGGAGAAGAGTGAGGGAGGACAACCCCCCAAAAAATTTTAGCTGAAAGCATCTGCAAGGGATGGCCAAACCTGGGAGCAGGAAGGGGAGAAGGGTGGCTTACGGTAAACAGTGAGCTTCACGGGGACACTGCGGCCATGGCTGATGGGGTTCTCCACCAGGCAGCTGTAGACATCATCGTCAGCCATGAGGACACGGGTGATGGTGAGGATCTTCTGGTCCGGGGAGAGGAGCAGGCGGGAGTCGTTGCTCAGCGGCCGCCCGTCCTTCAGCCAGGTGTAGGTGGGCTTGGTGCCATTCTCGTGCGAGCAGTTGAGGGTGAAGAACTCACTGAGCTCCAGCACCGTTGAGGAGGCCACCAGCACTTGTGGCTTTGAGACGGGAACTGTGGGCAATAGAGGAACCACGGTGATGCCATGTTTCAGGGGACAGAAAGGCTCAGGGCAGGAAGAGAGACACCAAAACCCCACCAACTTGAGGGGGCTGAAACCCCCAAAACCACCTCCCAGCTGGAGCAAGCCATCCCAATGTGTGCTCAGGAAAGACATCCCATGGATAACCCAATCTGCCCCGTGGAGCCATGATATTTTCTGAAAAATCCTTTCCTTGGGATTTTTCCTCCTGAGAAGCTGAGAAGCCTCAGGAACAAAATGTAAACAATGATTATCTGCTGCTGTGGAATGCAACAGGTGAAACTGTGATTGGTCTAATGTGGTTGTTTCTAATTAATGGCCAATCACAGTCCAGCTGGCTCGGACTCTCTGTCCAAGACACAAACCTTTGTTATCATTCTTTCTTTTCCTATTTTTCTATTCTTAGCTAGCCTTCTAATGAAATCCTTTCTTCTATTCTTTTAGTATAGTTTTAATATAATATATATATGTATATCAATATAATATCAATATATATATAATAAATCAAGTCTTCTGAAACATGGAGTCAGATCCTTGTCTCTTCCCTCATCCTCAGATACAAGCTTTTGTTATCATTCCTTCTTTTTCTATTCTTAGCTAGCCTTCTGATGAAATCCTTTCTTCTATTCTTTTAGTATAGTTTTAATAGAATATATATAAATATTATATATATATATCAATATAATATCAATATATACATAGTAAATCAAGCCTTCTGAGATGTGGAGTCAGATCCTCATCTCTTCCCCCATCCTCAGACCCCTGCAAACACGGTCACACCCCTGGCTGTCCTCCTTGCCCTTACTGTCCACGGTGAGGTTGATGGTCTTCTCGCCGGTGAAGGTGTCGTCGGTGATGGACACCTCCACCTCGTAGGCGCCCTCGTCGGCCAGCTGCAGGGGGCTGATGAGCAGCGAGCCGTTCTCCAGCACGCGGATGCGGTCGCGGTAGTCGGGCCGCAGGTTGCCGATGATCTCGGTGCCGATGGACTGGACCACGGTGACGGGTTTGTCCCTCTTCAGCTGCCACTTGACCACGGGCTTGTCGGCGCTGGCGCTGGCGTAGCGCACCGACAGCAGCGCCGCCTTGCCCGCCGTGCCCCGCACCAGCGGCGTGGGGCTGGTGATGTTCACCCCTGCCAGCAGACCTTGGGGTGTGGGGGGAGAGACAGGGGGTGCCCAGCATGGAGGAAACAGGGAAACGCCAAGTGAGCACCCCCAAGGTGCCTAGCTTGGTTTTGTAAGCTTTGCAAAGATGTACGTGTGACCCCAAAAGTGCATGAGGAGTGATGTTCATCCTTGCCAGCAGACCTTGGGGTGTGGGAAGAGACGGGGTGGAGGAAACAGGGAAACCCCAAGTGGGGTTTCCTCCATCCTTGTCAACATGGAGAAAACAGGGAAACCCCAAGTGAGCACCCCCAAGGTGCCCAGCTTGGTTCCATAAACTTTGCAAAGATGCACGTGTGACCCCAAAAGTGCATGAGGGGTGGGAGCCCTCCTGCACGCAGATCAATGCAACACAAGAAAAATCAAGGAATCAACACCAAAATTGCTTTGGGCATGGGAGGTGGGTTGTCACAGACATCTTTTATGAAAAATCCTTTCCTTAGGATTTTTCCTCTTGAGAAGCTGAGAGGCCTCAGGAAAAAAATGTAAACAATGGTTATCTGCTGCTGTGGAATGCAACAGGTGCATCTGTGATTGGTCTAATGTGGTTGTTTCTAATTAATGGCCAATCACAGTCAGCTGGCTCAGACAGAGAGTCTGAGCCACAAGCCTTTGTTATCATTCTTTGCTATTCTATTCTTAGCCAGCCTTCTGATGAAATCCTTTCTTCTATTCTTATATATATTTTTAATATAATATATATCATAAAATAATAAATCAAGCCTTCTGAAACATGGAGATCCTCGTCTCTTCCCTCATCCTGAGACCCCTGTGAACACGGTCACAGTGGGTCAATGCAACCCCCTGGGATGATGCATTATCACCCCCCAAAGCTGCATTGGGGGTGGCAGTGCTCCTGCAGCCAGGCAAATATCACCAACACTTTGCAAAAATGCATGCATCACCCCAAAAATGCAAGGAGGAGGTGGATGGCACATCTCCTGTTGCTGGGTTCTGCAAAAATGCATGTGGTGCCCCCAAAATGTGCAGGCCTTGGGCAGGAGCTCTCCTGCAGCTGGGCCTATGCAACCCTTTGCAGAAATTCATCTGTCACCCCCAAAAATGCAGGGAAAGTGCTCCTGCAGCCAGGTCGATGCAGCCCTTTGCAAAAATGCACACATCACTTGCAAAAATGCAGGGGGTGGGAGGCAGGTCGAGGCAACCCTTGGCAAAGTTTTATCGTTGTCCTGCAAAAGCTGCCTGGGAGTGAGAGATGCCAGTGCTCTGATCTGTGCAATGCCTTGCAAAGATACCTTAATTCCCCCAAAAATGGTGGAGGGGAAGGATTTTATATCTCACCCCCATCCCCATTGGATGCTCCTGTCCAGACAAAGCCCCCTCAGACAGAAAACTGCATCACGAGATGCACGTGCATTGCTCCTCATCGCTGGTTTCGAGCCAAAAAAGGCAGGGAAAAAGTGTAAAAACATGATTTTCTGAGGGAGGCCACTCTCCAAAACATTCTCCCTCCCCAAAATACCTTCAGCATCCCCGTCCTGACATCGCAGAGGTGCCACCCGCGAGCCCCCCATACGAACACCATCACCCACAGCGAACAAACCCCATATTGAAGAGGAGGGGAGAGTGGGAAAACCAGCTGGGCTGGGAGAAGCAGGAGCAAGAAAGGCCTTAAACAAGCCCGAAAAGTCATGGGACCTATTGGTATGCAGCGTCCGTCCGTCCGTCCTCCCCGGCAGCGCCACAAACAGGCCCCGACTCGCCAGATTTGGGGGAACCCTCGCCCCACAGGGAAGGCCAAGGCAAGGGATGGGGATGTGGCCTTCCATGCATCCCTGCCCCCTCCCCGTGCGCTGCTCTTTAACTGTTTCTTCCCCCTTTTTCACCCTGTTCCTAGATTTTTCTCCACCCTGGATAAAAAACCAAAATTGGGGAGTTCATTAATAAATCAGGAAATGTTCATTTTTCCTACAGCATCTTTGGCTTAGGGATGGAGATCTCCCAGCCCTTTTTAAGGGATTTGTTGAAAAAGCCCACCAAAAATCCTCATTTTCACACTATTTTGTGGCACAAATCCCTTTTTCTTTTTCTTTTTTTCCCTGCACTATTTTTTGGGGTGTCCTCACTGCAGCCCTGGCTGTTTTTAGGGTCAAAATCAAAGTCAGCAAAAACCCAGTTGGTTTTGTTTTTCATCCATCCTCCCCATCTGAAGGGAAATGGGGCCTCCCCGGAGCTGCTTTTGGGTGCAAACTTTGGTAAAACGGAACAAAATTATTGAACGTGATTTTCTGTGTTGCCAGACCTGGGATGGGGTGGTTTGGGGCTCATTGAATTCCAAAAAGTGAGAATTTAGAGAAAAAATGATGGAGAAAATGATGGAGAAAACAGAGGGTTGCAGTGGGATGGGCAAGCCTAGAAATGGGGTGAAAAATGACTTTTTAAGGGCAGCTGAAGAATGGGTAAGAGAAAATATTTGGAGATGCTAAAAAATTGGGAAAAAATGGGGTTCGGGGAAGGAAAAAACCTGGGGAGAAGCTCAGGATGGGGGCAGCGCCAAATCCTCCCCGACATCAGGACCTGCTTGGCTCCAGAAAAGCGTTTTCCCCATTTTCGTTCCAATTTTCCCCATTTTTTTCCCAGCTCCCAAGCAGAGGGTACGCTCGGCAGCGCAACAACCCTCCCTCAACCCCCCCCATAGGGCATCACCACCCTCACCACCCCCCCGGCCAGCTCCCTCCATCTGGACATCCCCAAAAAACCATGGAAAAAAAGGGAAAACAGTGGGAAAACAGGGAAATGCGCGTACCTGCGTGCAGCGCCAGCAGCCAGGTCAGCGGCAGCAGCCCGGGGGGAGCGGGGTGGCCCCGCGGGGCAGCCGGCGCTCCCCACATTTCGGGCAGGCTCGCCCCCCGAATCGCTCCGCTTCCCCACTCCGGGCACGTCCCTCGGAGCTCCCGGCTTGGCGCTTCGCCCGGCTAATTTATTTTTTTTTCCCTTTTTTTTTTTTTTTTTTTTTTTTTTTTTTTTTTTTTTGTTCTTTCCTTTCTCAATAGAGCCCTGTGTCCTGGTGGCTTTCGCCTCCTCGGAGGCCTCGAGCTGACATTTATTTGAGGAAAAACCACTCAGATTTGCAATTTTTCCTTTTTCCCCGCTTACAGACCCCCAGTTCCATGTTTTCTACACTTGGGGTGGGGAGGCATCACCCCATCGAGCCCGGCTGAGGTTTGCCATCCCCTCCTCGGACAATCCAAAGGGATTTTGGGCTCTGAACACCCCATTCAGCTAAACTGGGGTTTTCTTTAGGAGGGATATTTTGCAAAGCTGAGCCCCCATCCCAAAAAACTACCCCGCTTTTTTTTTTTTTTTTTTTTTTTTTTTTCCCCTCTTCCCAGGCTCTAAAGCGAAGCCCGGTGGCATCCAGGCTTCATTCCAACTCCATGCCAATTAGCGCCAGTTCCCCGGGCACCGCTGAATAGGGCAGCGGGACGTGAGGCAGGATGCCCGGAGCCATTTCCCACCCCCTCCCGAGCCCTGCCAGGCTCATCACCCCAGAGAGACACCGCCCACCCCCCGGGGGTCTCCTGGCCCCCAAAAGGGGTCGATGCCTACGAGCATCCTGTCCCAGAGGGAGGGAGATGCTCTGAGGGAGACGGGTTATGGGGAGATGGTGCAGGGGGGTTTGGGGGATGCTACAGAAAGGGGCTTTGAGGGAGTTTTGGGGAGACATTAAGGGGGCAGATGCTTTGGGGTCACCTATGGGGAGGTGCTTTGGGTGCCTTTGGGGGGATGCTGTGTGGAGATGTTCTAAGGGGATACTCGGAGGGCGTCATGTGGGAGCGACTCGCACGGGGATGCTCTGTGTGGGGTGTTCAGGGATGCTCAGGGGGCCGTTTCAGGGATGCCCTGAGGCAGACACGGTTCCTCCACCCCCGTTCCACCGGAGGCGGGACTCGAACCGGTGACCTCGGAATCGTGAGGGGCTGGGGCTGGGGGCGGCCTGCGATTGGCTATGGCGGGGGGGCGGGGCTTGAAGCGAGGCGGGGCGAGGATGGGCGTGACCGGGAGGGCTGAGGGCGTGACCGGGACTCCGGGGGCGTGACCGGGGCGAGATCGGGGCGTGACCGAGGCGACATCGGGGCGTGGCCTGGACGTCTGGGGGAGTGACCAGGATGCGACAGGGGCGTTACCGGGACTCTGTGAGGCGTGGCCGGGGCGTGGCCGTGCGGCGGAAGTGGCGCCAGGATTCAAAGCTGCGCTGGCGGCGGAAGTGGCGGTTGGTGCGGCCTGAGGGGCTCCGGCGGGCTCGGTGAGGGGGATTACGGGGAATGAAGGTGCAGAGTCTGGGGAGGTGTTGGGGGGATACGGGAGGATGGGCCCGAGCCCGTGGGGCAGCGCCCAGGGACGGGTGAGGGTACCCAGGGGGTGAGGAGGGGCTGGCCGGGATGGGGGGCGGTGGAGTTCGGGTACCGGGAGATCGGAGCGCGAACCTCGGGGGAACGGGGAGCTGGAGGTGGGGTAAAGGAGGTGGCAGTGGGGATAGAAGGGAAGGGGTGCAGTGATGGGGCAGAGGGGCTGTCAGCCGCCATGGGCTGGGGGTCCCCGCTCGGAGCTGCGGGAGGACAGCGCGGGGAGAGGCAGGAGGGCGCTGGGTATAGGAGCTGGGGCGGGTGTGGGTTGGGCTGCGGGAGCTGGGGCGGGTGCGGGTTGGGCTACAGGGGATGGGGCAGGTGCGGGTTGGGCTGCAGGGGCTGGGGCAGGTGCGGGTTGGGCTGCAGGGGATGGAGCAGGTGGGGTTGGGCTGCAGGGGCTGGGGCAGGTGCGGGTTGGGCTGCAGGGGCTGGGGCAGGTGCGGGTTGGGCTGCAGGGGATGGGGCAGGTGGGGTTGGGGTGCGGGAGCTGGGGCAGGTGCGGGTTGGGGTGCGGGAGCTGGGGCAGGTGCGGGTTGGGGTGCAGGGGATGGGGCAGGTGCGGGTTGGGGTGCAGGGGATGGGGCAGGTGGGGTTGGGGTGCAGGGGATGGGGAAGGTGCGGGTTGGGGTGCGGGAGCTGGGGCAGGTGCGGGTTGGGGTGCAGGGGATGGGGCAGGTGGGGTTGGGGTGCAGGGGATGGGGAAGGTGCGGATTGGGGTGCAGGGGATGGGGAAGGTGCGGATTGGGGTGCAGGGGATGGGGAAGGTGTGGGTTGGGGTGCAGGGGATGGGGTACAGGGGATGGGGCAGGGGCGGGTTGGGCTGCAGGGGATGGGGCAGGGGCGGGTTGGGGTGCCCGGAACACACCCTGAGCTCTGCTCCCGTCCCCAGGGCCGGGCCCACGGCGGTGCGGGGATGGTGCTGCCCTCGAAGGGGCCGGGGCAGCCCCTGCGGTGCCGGTGGCGGGCGCTGGCCGAGAGGAACCAGAGCGTGGCCGCCGTGGGCGCCTGGGTGGAGAGCGCGCCCGGGCAGCAGAGCCCGGCCTTTGTGAGTGCACCATCTGCGGGGCTCGAACCCTTCACTGTGCCCCTAACACCCGCAGCGGGGCCAGAGCCAAAGGGGATCTTTGTCACAGCCTGAGGGCAGTCAGGAGCATGGCTCCTAAAAATAATAATTTGTTTTAATGTGATTTAGCGGGGTCAGAAGCTGCCGTGGTGTCGGTGTAGTCTGGCCTCCCCTTTGCACAAGCCCTCTGTTTTGTGGAGATAAACAAAACTCTACAACTTTGTGAAAGTTGTAAAGCTGGTATGTTTATTACAGTGTATTTATTACAGGTATGTTTATTACAGCGCTGGATGCATGCGGAGGTTACTCTCTTTAAAATACATACTTACTTTTGGGGACTTCGGGTCTCTTTTTATTTTCTTCTCAAATACATATGCATACAATTTCACACTAGGTTCATACATATTCATTTTTAGGAATGTCACGTGACATTTGCCGCTAGTTCTTCTTTATCAGAAAGAATTCTTAGGTCAGGTTGACCTGCTCTCACAGCAGTCTCTGTTTCTCTTTATCACTTTTGGTCTTTTTTCTCTTTATCTCTGTCTTTCACTGAAGCAGTTTCTCTGAGCTTAGGCTTTTTTGCAGTCAGGCTAAATAGCTATGTTTGCAAACTACAGACTTAACTCAAAGATGTACATTTCACTTAAATCAAAATGGATCTCTGCTCTGGAGAATTTCTACTTTGTCTCACCTCAGCATCTCTCTGGGTTGATCCCCCTCCAATAAACTGTTCTTTGAGGAGAAATGCATAAATTTTAAACATTAGTCAGGTGAGGAACCCAGCCAGTGCTGCTTCTTGCTTTCCCACTCATCGCTTAAGGATGTCAGGGAGTCGAGATTTGATTCTGTGTTGCTGATTAAAAAAAAAAAATTCAAATTAAGCTGAGTGTTTCAGGGTCTGGAGCCAATCTCTCCTGTTAGAAACAGTAGAAAAATCTCTATCCTGTTAGAAATACATAAGGAAATCTTCATGGATGCTTATCTCAGGAATTTCTGTTTTGAGGGTTATTCTAAGGAGGACTAAAAGTGCATTAAATATTGGATGATGAGTTCAGTCCCCTGTAATTAATGTCTGAACATTATAGAAGCTCCTGCCCTTCTGAGATGATTTATTTCTATATTGTAATTTAAATCCTGAAAGGCTGAGATCATTTATGGAAATCAATCATCTCCGTATTCCACAGGACTTCCATCTTGGCACTGTGGAACTTCTGGGGGAGCTGATCTTTTCCTGACAGCTTCAGGGGGCCTGGATGCTCCTGGGGCTCCCCATGTGAGGTGAATGAAGCTGCCCAGGGTTATCTGAGCTTATTTAATACACTTAATTAACCCATAGTAATGCCTCATGCATCAGAGTTGCTGCTGAGGTGGGCAGTGGGTGAGCTGGCACTGGGCTGTTCCCTGGAGCACTCTTGGTTTCATCCCTAACAGGGTGGATTTCTCCCTGTCTTGGAGTTTTGTTGGGCTGTGCTGACCTTGATGAACTGTTCCAAGTTCATTGGGTCTCACCTCTTTCCTCCATCTCTGGTTTCTCTTGCTGTGTTAGCAGCCAGGAGAGCAGTGCTGTTTTAATTTAAGCCATGGTGGTGTTGCTTGGCAGAATTGCAAAGAAAACAAAATGGGGTTTTTGGGTTTTTCAGGTCATTGCTCTTAATCTTTCACTTCAGATAGTACAGACATTCTGAAGCAGTGCTGTGCTCTGTGAACTGCTCCCCTGATGTGCTTCCAACCAGGGTGAGGGGCTGGCCTGTTCCTGTGGATCCAGGCTTTGGGTATTTGATAGGAGCTGGGAGCTGCTCCCAGGGTCTCCTTTTTCTTTCCTTCCCTGTAGATGCAGAGAGGCAAAGGCAGAGCTGTGCCTGCTCTGTATCTCTAGTCAGACTGAATCCAGCCCATAATAACCCAGTAGATTTTGTCCAAGCTGTTACTCCACATATTTTGAAACAAAACATGACGTTTGCTCTGGGTGCTCCTTGTCTGCCTGGTCCCTCTGGGTGGGGGAAAGGGAATCCAGGGACACAGCTGCTCTAGTGCTACAGTTTAACAAAACCCTGGTGAAATCTGCTTCCCCCTCACCCAGGCCTCAGCATCCCGGGTGGAGGAGGAGCTGAAGGAGCAGCAGCAGCAGAAGGCAGCCAGCCTGAGGAGGTTCCAGGGCGAGGTGAGGCAGCGCGTGAACCGGCAGGCCAGGCTGCGCCGCAGGCTGGAGCTGCAGAAGGCCTACGAAGCTGTAAGTGAGGCTCTGGCAGGAGAAACTCCTCCAAACAGCATAAACTGGGAAAAACCCAAACACTGGGGCTTAAGTCAGTACCTTAAGTCAGGGTGTTAATGAGAAAAATTGAGAAAATCTGAGGTTTCAGACCCTGCGGTGGCAGGTGGTGTCCAGGCTGGGTCAGCGTCACACTTTGGTTGGTGCTGGAGATGCTTTGAAGCCTCCCCAGGGAAAGGTTACTGGCTCCCTCAGGCAGCAGCAGAACAGAGTTCTGAAGCTCTCTGTGGAATTTCCTGGAGTTACAAAACAGCCATGCAGGAGTTGGGAATGATGTGGATGTGTCCTGGCTGCCTTTGAAGCAAAGCATTTTTCTGCTGTTTCTTTTCCGATCCCTTTTCCAGAGCAGCCAAGTAATTTCCAAACAACGCTTTCCCTGTGTCTCCACATTCCCTTTCCCCCCATGGGCTTGTTTTGGATTATCCTGTGAATATATTTAATTCTTTCTATTCTCAAACAAGTGCTGGGGAGGCTTGCCAGGATCTGACTGTGGCAGAAAAGAGAATGCACTGACATGTCACCAGCTTTGGCCACCCTTGGGATGTTTGGGCTGTTTCCATGGCTGGCTGGGGATGTCCTCATGTAACTCTGCCAGCTCCAAGCAGGAAGCCCTCAAATACCCTCAGCCCCAAAGAACCTGATGCTTCTTTGTATTCCCAGCATGGAGAGCCAAAACCTCCCTCCCAAGGGTGGTGAAATGTCACCAGGGTTGACTTCTTGCTGGGTCATGGTTGGAGATCCCTGTGGCTTTTTCCTGGCAGGTGGAGAGGGAGAATTGTGCTGCTGTGCAGTATTCAACCCCCTGGAAGAACACGTGCCTGTTCCAGAGCCTCCCTGCTGCCATCATCTGTGCACCCAGTGGCTGTGACCCAGCCCAGCCAGAAGAGGAGCACGGGGAGCCATTCCAGCAGCAAGCTGCCGAGGTGAGCCCTGCCCCTCCTGCACTTCCATTGGTTCTTCAGCATTTTGGATCCTCGGGGTTTGAAATGGGGAACATGCCATGGTTTCTTTTTTAATTCCACAGCACATCCCTGCTATTTGCGTTTAGCTATTTAATGAAACGTTAGCTCACACTGTCACCCTGAACGCTGTGGTGCTCCTCAGTGCATCCCACTGGGTGTCCCATCCCCGATGCTGTGCCTGAGCTGCCCTGGCTGCTGGCAGGCACGGACGGCGCTTTCCTAGCCCTGTCCTGGCGCTGAGGTGGCACTAGGTGGTGCCACCTCATTGCAGCTTGTCTCGCGCAGCCCGAAATCTGGGAAAGCCTGCCTTCAGGACTGTTTAAGCTTTTTTTTTTTAATAGTGATGTTTATGGTGCATTTGGTGGTTTAGAAAGCCTGCGTGCTCGCCTAGGAGCTGGAGTTATTCCAGATGGAGCACCATGAGATTCATTCTAATTGAAGTACCTTGGGGTGGAAAATCACTTCTGGCTGGATACCAAGCAAGAAAATTTGGGATCTGGCATCTCAGCAACATGTTTTGGGAGCACATGAGTTGCCTGGATCAGAATCTCGGGCAAGCTCTGATTGTGTATTGGGTTGTGCTGCCTTGATGGAGCAAGGAGGATCTCTGAAAGACCCTGATTGTGTGCTGGGTTGTGCTGCCTTGGTGGAGCTCCTTGGCTGGAGCAGACTGGCTGGGAGATGTCTCCTTGCAGCTGAACTTGTGTTTTCTTTGCCTCTCTCTGGCCCAGCTCAGCAGGGCAGTGCAGCAGGTGCGGCGCAGGCTGGCGTCCCGCAGGATCCTGTCCCACGCGTCCCACGGAGCCTGGAGGCAGCAGGTGAGCAGGGCAGAGAAATCACCTTGCACACTGCTGAAGGTTTGGCTCTAATTAGCAAATCCAAAACATAATTCTGGAAGTTTGTCCAGCAGGAATGAAATAACCTGTGCTTTCCATGTGGCTAACCCATTTCAGAGAAGGCAGCAGGATAAAGTGTGTGAAAACATCTCTGAGATGAACTCAAGAATGCAAAATAGACTTTTAAAGGTTGAGATTGTGATCTGGGTGTCTGGGAGGAATGTGATGACCAGCCTTCCCTCAGGTGCCTTTATTTCTACAAACCTCAGCACCTCTTTCCATTGCATCAATTGCTTGTTTTGTGTGGGTGGCAAAGATCTGGAGGGTTTTTCCTCACCCAGGGCTGGCTTCTGGTAGAGAATGGTTGGCATGCAGCTGCTTTCCTGAAAGCAGTACATGGAAGGAGGTCAGTCCCACCTTTTGTTCTGATTAATTTTATCCTGCTTTTGCTCCTTGAGTTCTCAAGACCCCTTTTGTGTTGTAGCTATTTCCCCTGTCTCTATGCCAAGACCTTTCTTGAACTGATGTACTTTGGAGAACACCAGGAGCAACCCAGCCTGGTGTTTTGACTGATTGCCTCTGGAGCCAGTTTCCTGCCCATCCTGTAAATCTTCATTCCCTTCTCTTTTTCAGGTTCACCAAAGGTGAAGTAGATCTTTGCTGATTATCTAGAAACTGTCCTTTTATAGAAGGGCTGCTCTGCCTCTTCTTTGTACTCTTGGATTTCTGATGAAGTCTGCCAGCTCTGCAAATAGGACTCAGAGAAACACAATAATTATGGTCTCAAAAACCTTGTTACCTGTTTCCAACAGCAAACATCCTTCTTGTCTGAGCTACTAATGCATTCAGTGAGATAGGTTGATTTATGAGCTCACATAAACAACAAAGCCACTGCCCAGGTGAGCCAGAAGGTTACAGGAGATCCGTGGGAGTCCTGAGCAAGTCATCCACAGCAGTGAGAAACACTGGGAGGGGTTTGGGACCATCCTCCCATCCCAGCCTCACTGCACCTACAATTAATCTACATAAGGAAGTTGACCAGCTTCCCTGATCTATTCTGGGAGGAATATATTGATTTATTGCATTGCTCTGTTTTATTACTCCATGATATATGAGGAGAAAAAAGCTCCCATATTAATCTAAATCTCTCCCTCTATGAAGGTTTGGCATGTTCCCAGCCTGGCAGGAGTGCAGCATCTTCCCTTCAGGGGAAAAGGCTGCCACAGACACAACCATGGACCTGACCCCCTTGGTAGTGCTGCCTCTGCTTTTGTGCTCCCTGAGTTTCCTTGTGCTTTGTATTCCAGCCCATTTCTTTGGTTTTATCCCAAGGGTTTTCACCCAATACAAGGCAAGTGGGGTCAGTAGCTTAATCAAGATGCTTCTTTCCTCCTTCATCCAGGCTGATAATGAAATCAAAGAGCAGAGCCCACCTCGTTCTTACCCTATTTCTGTGCAGTGAGCTCCTGAGACCAAATCTGGGCCATGTTTTTAATCAGTTTTGTGCATCCCACATCAGACTTCCATCTAGCAGGTTTTGCTTCACCCCAGTGTTGAATTAGGCCACGAACCCCAGAGTCTTGTGCTGCTCTTTGCCTGAGGCCTCTTCCTTCTATTGTAGGAGACAGGCAGCTTATCCTAGCCTGACTCCTGACTCATTTATGCTGGTTGCTGCTTATCTTGTTTTCTTGTGGTTTACAGATAGTTTGCAAGGTGATTTCCTCTTGTTTTTTCAAAAGCCAGAGTTAAACTCTTGAGGCTAAAATCTTTTATTTGGCGTTTCCTTTTCCTCCCCTTTAAATAAAGACAGACACTCCTTGTGCCCTTTGATAATCTGGACCTCCATAGATTTCAGGGAGCTTTTTGCACCTTAGCTGCTGTTCTGGCCCAGGGGAGGTCCATCCTCCTTAAAAACATCAGCTTTAGGAATAACCTGACTTTTTCTTCCCAATAATAATCCCAGCAGTTTTCTCCCTGCTGCTGCTAACTCAAAGCAAGTCTGGCTGAAATGTTTTTTTCCCCTCAGTTCTGTTTTCTGCATTTTTCTTCATCTTTTTCCTTTCTCCCTGTAAAGCATTGCATTCCCTGTGATAATAATCCATGTTCCTAAGATTGCTGCTCCTTCTCTCCCCCCCCAAGATTTCTATTCAGGTTAAAAGCACCCAAGGAGTTAATTGCCTCTTTCCCAAGCAGATACCAGAATGGTAATTGCCTGGAAATGACCTGTCCGGTGTTCCAGCTCATCCTGTTACTGAGTCTTTGCCTCCAGGCTTTGATGGACAGCTGTAGCTCCCCAGCATGGCAGCACCCAAATTTTTTTCCCCAGTGTCTCATTCCACCAAGCTGGTGTTGTTTTCCCACAATGTCGTGTCTTTCTGCCTTCAGTGCTCCAGAGGAACACCCAGAGCAATAACCCTTCCCTCTATTCCCTCATCCTTACCAAAGCAGCTATTCTGTCATGTTTCTGTCATAATGGGGTTGATGGAGTAATTCCTGCTGTGCCTATCAAATAATTCCAGGCTATTCTCTGTCCTTCCCAAACAGCAGTAGAGCCATATCAAGGAATTCTTGGCATCACCTGTTCTCCTGCTGATCCATCCTTTCCTTCTCAGCAGTCCTGTGCTTCCCTTCCCACCACGCTGAAGGAAAAAAAGAAAGCACGGGGAAAAAAATTATCCTGGCTTCAAGCTTGCTTCTGGCATTTTAATTCTTTATTTTGTAGGAAACAATCTGCTGCCTCTCAAAATATTGTGGATTGCCACTGGGGAGCCTGCCCACTTCCCATCTGAAGGAGTGTGCTCTGTACTCGGTGTCTCTCAGAGATTCCAGCTCCTTGCCACTGTGAAATTGTGCCTGGAGAGGTTTCTGCCTTTCCTTCTCTTCACCCCACTGTTTCTGCAGTTGGGGAGGGCACAGTCACAGCCACCCTGCTGCATTCCTGTTGCCCAGCTCTGGTGGCCCATGGTGCTGCTGAGCACATGGTGCTGCCAGATCCCATCCAAGTGACAGCACACACAGCCTCCTCCTGTGTGCTAAAGCTGCTCCAAGGGTGTTCAGCTTTCCCTTGGCACCAAACAGCCAGATTTTAACTCCATGTTTACACCCATGTCCTCCCTTCTCCAGGATCCAGACCCTTGCCCAGCACCTGCAGTGCCCATGGAAGAGGGTGAGGAGCTGCTGCTGGCAGGACACCACGATCTGCCTGCTGAGCTGCTGGAGCAGGGCACAGCTGCACGTGCCACTGGGCAGGATGATGGCTTCTACATCAAAATTGAGTTTAAAAAAGTAAGACTCGTGCAAAGTTGGTCTTGAGTGGTTTGGATCATAAATTTATTTTGGTGTCTGGAAGAGGCTGCTCTTGGAGGGGCATTTGCTCCCTCAGGCCTGCTTTACTCTTCAGCCCACCATCCTCAAAGCAGGTTTGGGAGCAGAACTGGAGCTCAGTGAGGTCGGCACTGCCATTCCCTGCTTTCGTGGCCTTGGATTCCTGCCTGCTTGTGATGCCACTTGGCAGCTGCCCAGGTGAAAGCTGAAACCGGGGCGTGCTGTCACATCGTACCCAGAGCCATGCTCAGACCTCATGCCTAAAGACCTGAGGGTGGAAGAGATCAAAAGAGATCAAATCACTCGGAAACCTTGAAAAGAGGAGGAAAAAAACCCAAAAAACCGGAAAAAAACCAAAAACCCCTCCCCCCAAAGCTTTGTATCAGGTGAAGGAGATGGCTGTGGCTATCCCGGTGCCTGGGGGTGGCAGGCCCTGCCCTAGGAGGGATTGAGGAGGGCTTGATGTATTTATCCTTCCTCTTTTGTTTTCAGGCAGCTGTTTCTGAGCATCTGGGGGGTGGAAATGGTTCATCCTGATTGCCTGGGGTGGTTGGCAAAGGCTTTGTGGCTGTGGCAGTGTGTGCCCAGCCTTGGCTGGGGATTAGTCCAGCTTGGAGCAGAAATGCTGCCAGGGCAGATAGGGACACAGCAGAAGGTTGGCTGGGTAGATAGGGACACAGCAGAAGGTTGTGCTGAGGTTTACACTGAGGTTTTTGGGAGATGTTGGCTGTGGAATTCCCCTTACATTGAGGTTTTTTTTCACCCTTCAAGTAATTCATAATACAAGTTTGGGATGGGGAGATGTGCATCCATATTTAAAGTAAACCAAAACCCTCCTCCAAGGATATCTTTAGAGGTGTTTTGGCAAAGCTTTGGTGCTCAGACTCTTATTGAGATGTGGCACATCTCTCCTGTTCATGGCCAACCTGGACCCCAGATAAAGCCCATTCCAAGGTGGGTCATTGAGGTCTGGAGGGATCACACAGAGGCCCTGCCTCCAGTAAGAGCATTTTGCTGGGGGAAGATGACAAAGAGCTGTGGTGATGCTGATGCTGCTCCCTTCCATTATCTCAGGTCTGTGGTGGGACAGTGAAGGACTCGAGCCCTCCTGGGAGGCCACACAGTGAATGCCAACCTCCCCTCAGACTCTGGGCTGGTGTGGAGCAAGAGGAAACCAGGAAGCAGGTCTGTCCAGGGGAGCCAAACCCCTTGAGGTTTTGTTTGGAAGAGATTGGGTGTTAAGAATGCTGCTGGCTCTAATGAGAAACCTCAGAGGAGCTTTAATGTATGAAACCCCTACTGGGTTTAGTTTGTCAGCTTTTGGTCTCAGGTCTTAGGCAAAGCTACCAGGTTATTTTTTAAAATCTGTTCTAAGTGGAACTGTTACCTACTACTCCTACAAAATCTGGGGTCTCAATAACACCAAAAATTTGAAGGAGAAACAGGCTCCTTTCATTCTGCCTGGCAAAACCATGGGGTGCTTGCTGCAGTTGCAAGGAGCTCAAGAAGCTGCCAAAAATGCTTAAAAAAAAAAAAAAAAGAAAGAACAAAGCTAACTTTATCTTGTTTAAATACAAGGCTGGAATATAAAGGTTTCTTTGCTTTTGGGAATAGCCTCAAGCTCAGCCTGCAGGCCAAGTGGATGATTTCACAGTGAGGGTTTACAGCCTGTGTCCTGGACAGTTTGGCTCATGCTAATCTCAGTGATAGAGAATGATGATGTTTCTCTTGGATGTCTAAAGCCAGTGACTTTTATTTTCCTGCTTCCTCCTGCCATGAAGAGGAACATTACTCTCTCCTTTTTTCACCTTTCTTGCAGTTTGCAGTGTAAAATTCCGAACAATTTGCAGGGTTTTTACAAGTGTTTTCAAACCAACTGATCCCAAATATGGTTGTGGTTTCTCACCAGTGTGACAACAGCTGGGGCTTCTCAGGCTGCTCCTCCTAACCCTGCTGTTCCCTTTCCTCTTGCTTTTAATCTCCTTGGCTCTGATCCATCCAAGATAACTGGTTTTGCTGCACTCTCCTCTGCCTGGGGTTTTTCCATCCGGTTTTCTTCACTGGCAGCCTGGTGATCTCCTCCTCCTTTATCTCCAGCTGTGCTGGGCTCTCTCCACTGAGTGAGGTGGACAAACTGAGCCCAAAGGTTTTGCATTTCATGAAGAAAAATCTGTGCATTAAACTTTTGGGAGTCATGGAGCTCAAACTGTGTCTGTATCCCACAGTAGGAGAGCTTTGATGGGAGCTTTAGCCAGGAGGTTTCCCTGCCTTTGCTGCATCACCCAAAGTGGGATCACCCAAAGCCCAGACACTGAACCCTCAGTATCCACATGGGAGTTCTTCCCTGCAGGGCCCCTGGATTTGTCTCAGCAATGGTTTTGTCACCTCGGTGGTTCTCCTGCACATAGAGAACCCAGCTTGGTGTCATACTTTTGTCTTTTGGAGCAGATACAGGGTTCCACTGCAGGGGAGCACCAGTGTCCAGGTGGATCCAAATTCAAGCAGGCTGAAGCTGGAATTGGCTCTTTTCCCCTCAGCAAAGCGAGAGTTTAGGAGTTTGCCAAGTGACAGAGCTGCCATCCATAGGAGCTGCCATCCATAGGCAGTGTCCAATGATTATCCAAATCATTTGTCATCAATAAACTTTCAATTAACCTTCCTCTATATTTCCTAGTATCAAAACCAATAACCAGCTATCATCATCACTCCACAACCACCCCCAAACAGACATAGAATTAACCCCAGAACTAACCCCCCCCTCAAAAACCAAAACCAAACAAAAATACAAACCATGATCCTAAAGGGATAAAGTGGATCAAAAATACAAACCATGATCATAAAGGGATAACATGGATCAAAAATACAAGCCATGATCATAAATTGGTAATGTAGATCAAAAATACAAACCATGGTCATAAAGGGATAAAGTGGATCAAAAATAGAAACCATGATCCTAAAGTGATAAAGTGGATCAAAAATACATACCATGATCATAAAGTGGAGGGATGCTTGTACAGAGCTCACCAATGCTTTGAGATCACTTGGTCTTTCCTACCTTGGTGCCATCTCTCAATCTTCCCAATGCTGGGTCACGTGCACTCAGAGACATTGAGGGTCTTTTGGGGAAAGGTTCCATCTTCCAGCAGTCAAGCTGAGCACTGATATTACTTGATATTTATCCCAGGCAATTCTCCTGCACATAGAGAACCCAGCTTGGTGTCATACTTTTGTCTTTTGGAGGAGATGTAGGGTTCCACTGCAGGGGAGCACCAGTGTCCAGGTGGATCCAAATTCAAGCAGGCTGAAGTTGGAATTGGCTCTTTTCCCCTCAGCAAAGTGAGAATTTAGGAGTTTGCCAGGTGGCAGAGCTGCCATCCATCATTTGCCACAGATTGCCACCACTGCCAATCGTTGGCAGTGTCCAATGATTATCCAAATCATTTGTCATCAATACACTTTCAATTAACCTTCCTCTATATTTCCTAGTCTCAAAACCAATAACCAACTATTATCAGCACTTCACAACCACCCCCAAACAGACACAGAATTAACCCCAGAACTAACCCCACCCCCCAAAAACCAAACAAAAATACAAACCATGATCCTAAAGGGATAAAGTGGATCAAAAATACAAACCATGATCATAAAGAGATAACGTGGATCAAAAATAGAAACCATGATCCTAAAGTGATAAAGTGGATCAAAAATACATACCATGATCATAAAGTGGAGGGATGCTTGTACAGAGCTCACCAATGCTTTGAGATCACTTGGTCTTTCCTACCTTGGTGCCATCTCTCAATCTTCCCAATGCTGGGTCGCGTGCACTCAGAGACATTGAGGGTCTTTTGGGGAAAGGTTCCATCTTCCAGCAGTCAAGCTGAGCACTGATATCCCTGGCTATTTATTCCTAAACATCTTTCTGTTGTTCTCCACAGCGGCAGAGCGAGTTCCTGCGGTGCCGGCGCCTCTGCATGGCCCTGGAGCGCGAGCGAGTGCGGCAGCGCCAGCGGCAGCAGGACAGGCAGCACAGAGTGGCCCAGTGAGTCCGTGCACGGGCTGGGGTCACCTCCTCCAGCAGGGTCCTTCAGAGGGTTGGAAAAGTCTTGTGAGTTTGTCTGGGTGGGATTCACACACCCTCGGGCCATGTTGAGGCCTTTAGCACTTCTCTATCTGGTTTTAAAGTCCCTGAGCAGCTTGGAGCCAAATCATGGGGCTGGGAAAAGTGCCAGCTCCCCAAACCATGACTCTGGGAACCTAAGCCAGTGTTTAGAAACTTTGGGGTGAGGTTATGTCGTTGTGCTAAGCTGTGACCATCCCTGGCATTTTTAATATCAGACCCTTCGCCCTCGCTGCCATAAAAACTTATACAGTGTAATAAAATATTTTACAGGCCTTTGTTCCAGAGTTGAACACTTGGTATCTGTGTTAAAGTATCGATTGTGGTGGAGTTTTTTCAGCTTCTCCTGTGAAGGAGTTCACTAAGGAGCAGCTCTGCAAATTCACAGCACAATAGGAAAGATCCTGTAATTTTTGGGTTTTTTTCCTGGCTTTCCTTTGAATAAGCTGACCTAAATCTGACCATCCTGGCATGTCTGTGATCAGGCTTTGGGGGAGTGGGACAGGCACCACAGGGCAGGATTTCATGGGCATTTTTTGGGAAAAACTGCCAGTCTAAAGCAGTGCTCCCTGAGCCACATCCTGACATTCCAGTGGCACTTGGGAGAGCTTGTCCCACCCTGTGAATGCTGGCAAGGCCCCAGGGATTCCCAGTTAGGGCAGTACCTTTTTATTATGATTTTTTCCCTTGAAGTGTGTGCAGAGGGGAGCTGGGTTTGTAATTGCAGGGTATAAAGCCCTGAGCTGGCCTTGGCCTAGAGTGGATTTATTGTGCTGTACTTAAGGTTCTACATTTCATTTAAAAAACATTTCCAATTTTATAACTCAACCAGAGAAGGTCAACTTAAGCACTTTCTTTCTGGATGTAAAGATTTGACCCCCTACATGAAGGGGGTGTGAAATGTCTTTTCCTGACTCCTTCCCAGCCTTGATTTTGGTTTTAATGCCCCCTGGCAAGGAGTGGCCTGGGACACATTGCTGCATTTGGGAATAAAATGTCAGACACTTTGGTGTAAAGCCTTTGTGCTTTGCAACTGCTGCTTGTCAGGGGAATGTTGTGTTTGGTGGAAATGACACAACCCAGGTCACAGTAAAGGGCTGGAGGGCCATGTAGGTGCAAGGGAGACTGAGGAAATAGAGGGAAACTTGGTTAAAAGTGCATTTTAAAGCCTGTTTTGGAGGAAAACTTGGTTAAAAGTACATTTTAAAACCTGTTTTGGAATGTCTCTGCTGTACCCAGCCCTGTCACACTTCCCTGTCCTGGAAGGTGCTTACAGAAGGATCCAAGCTGCCTCATAATCAGAAACAGTGGGAAGTGGGGAAGCTGGGAAGCCAAGGTGTTGGTCCTTTCTGAGGGGTATTAAAGAGCCCAGCTTTGTTTAAGGACAGAAATGCAGCTTTGGGGAACTGTGTGTGGCAGGAGCATGTGTGGATGTGATGCAGGAGGGAGCTGGAAAGAGGAAATTCAGGATGGTGAGAAAACAGGAGGGTAGGAAGAGTTTAAAGGCAGGAGAGCATTCACAGGCTGGTGTTGCCAGATGGGGGGAAGAATGGAGGCTTGGGAAGCTTTTTTGACCATTCTATGTTTAAAGCCAATATGTTTGTTTATATTTAATGCTGTAATTATTGCAGGATCACTTTTGCCTTTGGAAGCAGCAGCATCACCCAGATTGCTGTGGCCTGACCTCACACCAGGAATGGAGGCTGGGGTGGGAAGCTCCCTCTCTGAGCTGTGTGTGTTCCTGCAGGATTAAGAGGCAGAAGGAGAATCAGCGGCGGGCAGAGGAGCAGAGGATGAGAGATGTGGCTGAGCAGAGAGAGCCCTCCCCAGGAGAGGGAACCTGGGCAGCCCTGGCCCAGCTGCAGCTGGAGGAGAGGAGAGTGAGGGACAGACAGCAGCGAGATAAGGAGCACGTGAGGTACAGGCAGTCTGCACTCCTCGTGCAGAGCCAGGTGTCACTGCCAGAGGTAATGTTTGATCCCTTGCAGGTATCTTGAAGCTCTGAGAGCCCAGATGAGGGAGAAAGTCAAGCTCTGTAACATTGACTTGCCCCCACTGTGTTCCTGTGGGTCTGATTTCTGGGATTCCCACCCGGATACCTGTGCCAATAACTGCATCTTCTACAAAAATCACAAAGGTAGGAGCTCCTGCTTTCAGAGAGGAGACACCTGGGCCTGATTATACAGGGAGAAATCAAACCAGGATAGGTGTTTCCATGCTCCTGGGCTGCTGTGCAGAGATGCTCCTCCAAATATGCTCTGGAGAGGGCAAGTCAGGGGCTGTGCTGCTTGACCCAACCTCTGTCCCTGAGGGAGTGTAGTGGCATCCTGAGCAAGGCAGCAGCCCCTACAAGTGTTAAATGACACAGCTGTGACACAGCCATGAGGAAAATACTGCAAAGCATCTCATTAGGGACACAGAGCCCTCTGCCTTAAATGCTGAATCGTCTGCCAGGAGGATGCACAAAGGTCTGGAAATGGCCTTCCTTAGGTGATGGAGTGCTCTGACCTTGAGCAGAGCTTGAGAAAGTACCTGATTGGACAACTGGGAGTTATCTGGGAGGGAAAACAGAGACATTTGGGTCCATAAAATAATCTTTGATTGATGTTCAGGAGTGTGCAGAGTGTACAGGCATGTTGATTTACCTTATACCCCAATCTCTCAGCTCTGGTGAAAGACTAGAGCCAAGCCCAGTTTCAGGCCATAAGCGCAACTCTCATGCCCTGATATTGTTTGTGTCCCCGTTGTGCTCAGCCTACAGCCAGGTGCTGCACTCGGTGATCTCCTCCTGTGGCCCTGCAGCGCCGCGCTCTCTGCAGGACCTGGCTGCTCTCTGTGCCCGCTCGGGGAGGCGCCTGTGACCCGGAGCTCCCAGGCTGAGCAGGGAGTGGGGCTGTGCCTGTGCCTGTGCCGTGTCCTGCCTGCCCGGCGTCACCTTTGCCCTCGCAGGCTGTGCTGTGCCTCTCCCACTGTGCCCCAGGGGTGCAGCTGGCCGGGGCGATGGTCGAGGTGAAGGAAGCAATTGCTCTGTGGGGTTGGTTTATGGCAGGCACTTGCATTCCAGTAGCTGGCTATTGACTGCACATCCTTATCGACTAATCGTTATTGTGGAATAAACTACTTTCAAGGATTGTTTGTCTCATTTGAAGTGTGAAAGGAGGGGAAATGAGGTGACAGGGTTCAATATCTCTGAGGGGAGGATTTCTGACCTTTCCCTGCTCCCTTCTTTCACTTTTCTTAGGGCTTCTGCCAGCCCCTGCCACTTGGATCACATTCCAGAGCCTTCTAGAGTTATTCTAGACAAGCGTTAATACACTGACTATTGTTCTATTTGTTCTATTTGTCTTTGCTTTTCTACAGTTTAAATAAGTTTTCTGCTGACCTATCTCATAGCTGCTGCTTAGCTCTAATCACAGCTCTGCTGTCTCTGGAGCTTGCCTTTTGCAGCTTTCCCAAAACTCTCAAATTTTGTGGATTCCCACAGTTCCCTCTTTCTTTTCTGTGTGAGGATCTCTCTTCCAGAAACACCCACACAGCTTTGTACCTGACCCATGCTCCCATAGCCTCTACTTTGCTCCTGAAAGGAAGGAGCATTTTTGTAGTAAAAAAATTTTCAGGCCTTTGCAGGAGTGACTGGAGCAAGATGGGTTTTCCCAGAACAGCCCGTGCTGAGGTAATGTGGTGCCGGGCAGAGGTTACTCCATACCCTGTCATTAATATTTACTCCTTGCTGGCCGCCCTCTCCAGTATTAACCAGGGCAGGAAGGATGGGTGGCCGAGCGTGCCGGATCATTTCTTGTCCCTGTTCCCATCCCATTGGGCACAAAGCAAACCCACCTCCGGCCCAGAGGTGGCACAGAGCCAGGGAGTGCTCCTCAGTTCCTCCTGGAGAATCATTCACTGAGGGATCTGTCGTGGCTAATGCTGTTTATTAACAGCTGCTTGCGTCAGCACTGCAGCCCTAATTCAGGGTGTTGGAGTGGGTTTGGAAAGGGCAGGATCTGCCCCGTGAGGGGGCAAGGAAGCAAAGGGCTTCTTGTAGCTGATTTCAAATCTAGGGCAGCTAAGGACAGGCAGTTCTGTGGAACTGCTGAGATGAGACCTTGGAACTGCAGGGCCTGAGCAGTTTCCCAAGGAGCTTGTTCAGGCCCTGGGGACCCCTGTTCCTACCTCTCTGGAGGGATCCCCAAGGGGCTGTGGGCTGATTCAGGGCTCCGTTAAAGGAATAAATACAGCTGTTGCTGCTCCTCATCCTCAGTCTGCCCCTAGTAAGACAAATGGGACACTTTGAGAGGGGATGGGAGGAGAGGAGGACTCCCGACATTCCTGACAATAACCCCGAACCATGTCTGGGGTAGCTCGGTCACCCTCAGGGCAGTGAAGCCTGTTCGGGGCTGCTGAGATGGAAGTGGAAAAGTTAAATCCAGTTTTTTTCTGTTGGAAATACAGCATCTGGGGCAGCTCACAGAGCCCCGGGCCATACGAAAAGGGCTGCTCGGTCCCGTCGGGGCTGTGCCGCCTCCCACGGCCCAGCGCGGCCGTTCCCTCGATCCAGCCGCCTTTGAGGGCGATGTTTGTTTTAGAGGCAGCGAGGACGGCCCGGTTCACCCCTCGCGGCCGGGAACCGGGGCCGGGGCGGGACCGGGGCCGGCGGGGCGGGAGCGGCGGCCCCGGGGGCGGTGAAAAGGAGCCGGGGGTGCCCGAGCGCCGCCGCCGCCGCCGCCGCCCGCCATGAGGGCAGCGCTCGCCCCCGGGATCCGCCTGCTCCGCGCCGTGCCCCGGGACAGCCGGTGAGCGGGGACGGGGGACCGGAGCGGGGCTGGCTCGGGATAGAGGGACCGGCACCGGGACTGGCTCGGGATATGGGGACCGGCTCGGGATATAGGGACTGGCACCGGGAGCGGGGCTGGCTCGGGATATAGGGACCGGGAGAGGGACTGGCCCTGGATATAGGGACCAGCGCCGGGATCGGGGCTGGCTCCGAATATAGGGACCGGCACCCGAAGCGGGAGTAGCTCGGGATATAGGGACCGGGATCGGGACTGGCTCTGGGTATAGGGACCAGGAGTGGGACTGGCCCTGGATATAGGGACCGGGAGCAGGACTGGCTCGGGATATAGGGACCGGAGTTGGGAATGGCTGTATATATAGGGACCGGGAGCGGAACTGGCCCTGGAAGTGGGACTGACTCTGGACATGGGGACCAGCGCTGGGATCGGGACTGGCCCCGGATATATCCACTTCTGGATATAGGGACCAGGAGCGGGACTGGTCCTGTACATAGGGACTGTCACCAGGATGGAGATGAATTGGACAGGGAGGGTGTCAGCACCGGGACAGGGACGGTCTCTGGAACGGGGCTCACTCTTCCGTGGACCAGCACTGGAATAGAGACTGGCCATGGACATTGCAGCTGACACCAGGATGGGGACCAGAACGAGTGCAGGGATCAGCCCTGGGTTAGGGAGGAGGGGGTGTCATTCCACTCGGGACTGGCAACCGCTGGAAGTGGAACCGGGATGGAGGCTGGCCCTGGGCACAGGGACTGACTCTGGGATGGAGGCACAGGGACTGGCACTGGGATGAGGCTGGCCCTGGGCACAGGGACTGGCACTGGGATGGAGGCACAGGGACTGGCACTGGGATGAGGCTGGCCCGGACCAGTGGACCAGCACCAGCGTGGAGCCAGCCCTGGGACCAGCACCGGACTGGAGATCACTTGTCTGGGGACTGACACGGGACAGGGGTGAGGGACAGGGATGGGGACAGGGATGAGAGGTCAGTCCCCAGGGCCCAGCATCATCCCCACGCGCTGGACCCAGCTGGGATCAGCCCATACCGACTGCAGCCCAGGGACTCAGCCTGGGGACGGGGAACCTCGAGAGGGGCAACAGGACCTGCCAGCCTCCAGATGTCTCAGGCCCTGACACTCAAAATTCAGTGGGATGTGGCCAAAACAGAGACCTCGCCTGCTGCCTTCTCTTTTGACGAGGTGATGGGACTGCTGCCCATTTAATTTCAAGTAATAGTTAGATTTTTTGGAAGCCCATTGCCAGACACCCCCTCTGCTTTTCCATCTGCTGGAATTTTCCTTGCCAGAACACAAAGGGTCAAAAGAAAAAAAGAAAAGAAAAAGCCCGACACCCAAGTGTCTGGCCCAGGGGGGCGCTGCGTGTGAACTTTATCTTCCCCTTCCCTACCGTGGCCTCTCTGCTCCTCTTGGATCAGCCCTAGCAGTGATTTTGGGCGGTTTATTCATTTTTTGGGGTGGGCAGCAGCAGTTTCTCAGCCACAGTGCCGCTTTGCAGCCGGCACACAACACGGAGAGTTGCCCTGGATTTTAGGACACCCGTCACTGCTGCAGCTCCAGGGAGAAGTGAAACTGCAGAGGGGAGCAGGATGGGCCAAAGCCACGAAAGGAAAGGTTGTTTTCTTTCTAAACTTGGGGCAGTCCCGTGACATGTCTGTGTGCTGCAGCTGCCCCTGACTACTTGCATCCTCTGTGCTGCCATAAAACCCTTCCTGAAGGCAGGAGAGCTCCTTCAGACATATTCATCCTGCTCCAGAGAGTGCTGGATCCTACTTGGGATTCTCCAGGCTTTATCTGTTAGCTTTGATGGGTGCAGCATCCCCGTTTCCTGAGCTCAGATTCCCCCTTTCCCTGCATTTTATCCGAGCAAAGGGGATGAAATTGCTTTTTGGTGGAGGAAGGGGAGCTGGTATTGCCCCCTGCTTTTTTTTCCAGCTTATCTTTGATTAACCCTGGGAGTGATGATGAATCAGCACAGTTTCCACTCGTGACACCAGGAAGGCACTTGCTCACCCTTCGTTTCGGTGGGATGTAACTGCTTGAGGAGGTGGAAAAACTGCTTGATGTTCCCCACAAAACTCAGCTGATCTTTTTTTGGGGGGTCCGCTCACTTCCTGACCAGCTCAGCTGTGCTGGTTCAGGTCACCAATCCAGTAGAAGAGTCCCCAGTCCCACAAACCCTGACCTTTCTGCTTCCTTCCTCCCCCAGCTATCGGGGCCTGACTCTGGTGCTGACCTTCCTCTCCTACACCAGCTACCATCTCTCCCGAAAACCCATCAGCATCGTCAAGGTGAGCTCCAGCCTCGCCCCTGCTGTGGGACAGGGAGCCTGGAGAGGGCACATGGGGAGGGGGTGCTGACAGCACTTTGATTTCCCCCCTCTCTCTCCCTCTCCCTGCAGAGCCAGCTGCACCTCAACTGCTCGGCCTTGGGCCCGAACCCCCACAATGACTCCAACAGCACCACATGGTGCAACTGGGCCCCCTTTGGTAAGGCTGAGCCCCCCCAGGCACCCCAAACCCCACGCTTGTGGCAGCTGGGTTGGGCTGCCCCCATTCCCTAACAGCAGGTCGTGGCCAGGGTTTGGCAGGGAGCCAGCTGCTCATTAGGCAGCCGGAGGTAATTAAGTGATGAAGATCTGTCCCATGCCCCTGGGCCAAAGGGCAGCAGCAGGTGGTGAAATCCACGACAGGACCAGGTCCCAGTGCTGATGGCACCTGGCCATGTCCCCAGAAGCTTCCATGGGGACTAGGCTTTTGGGAATGGGGGACAAGACCAAGCCAGCAGCCACGGGGAGGGGACACAAAATGGGGGCCAGGCTGAGGTGGCCCTAATATTTGTTTTCCAGATGGGGACAACTACAACGAACTTTTTGGGGCGCTGGATAATGCCTTCCTGGTGGCCTACGCCATCGGGATGTTTATCAGGTACCCAGGGCCTTTCCCCACTCTCCACTTTGCACCAGTCTGTGGAACTGGTTTGTTTCCATGGGCATGGGGTCGTGCTAACAGGGAAGCAGCCAGGGATCCTCTCAGGATTCGGGAGCTGGCTCAGT